AATTCCATTTGCTAGCATTTTGTTGATGGTTTTCACATCTATATTCATCAGGGGTGTTGGCCTCTACTTCTTTCCTTGTTGTACCATTTCTTGGTTTTGGAATTAACGTGATGCTGGCCTCATAGGAAGAATTTGGGACAGTTTCCTCTCTTTCATTTATTTTTCATTGTTTGAGAAAATTAGAACTAATTATTTAAAAAGTTCGGTAGAGTTGAGCAGTAATGAATGACTCACTGTCATGGACTTTTTCTTTGAAGGGTCTTTATTACTGTTTCAATCTGATGGAGGTGTCTTCAGTTGCATCTTAACTGCTAGGATAAATGCCTTCTCCACCAAATTTTATTCCTTTCAGCTGTTTATATTTGTTCCTTGCAATTCATTTACTCTATAATTCAGTTCACTAATTGTTTCTGCATGTGTTTCTAATTTGTTTGTAAACAGTTTTCCAGTTATTTGTTTTTATTTTACATAGCACCTAATGTTTACTATATGACATGATTCGCAGCATGATTCTCCGTTTCATCCATTTATACTAGATTGAATTAGACACTCCAGTTTCTCGTTTGTTTTCTCATGTGGTTACAGTTATTCAGATTGGTTTGAGCTGGTTAGTTGGTGTAGGGTTTTCAGCTGCAATTGGTCTTTCCGCCCCCCTAATTACTTGGGGTTTCATCTGCTTCTTTTTTTATATTTCTTGAAGCATAGAATTTGGATGATTGTTTTCTAATGTAACCTTTCTTTTGCGTCTTTTTAAATACACGCTTTTGCAGATGTAACTGTTTCTTAGTGATTTCATCCTATTTCAAAGGTCCTGATGTATTGTTTTCATCTGGGTTAAACTGAATACAATTTTTAATTTTTGTGTGGTTCCTTCATTGACCCATTGGTTTGTTTCAGAGTTGTGGTTTTCCTGTAATTAAATGTTGTGATACTGATTTAAAAATATATATGTTATATATTTATTTATTTATTAGAAATTCGGAGTTACGGAGTTTGGGAGGTGGGAAGAAGAGAGAGAAAGCGAGCGAGCTAGAGAGAGAACGTGATGCCTGAATTACCACAGATCTTCCACATAAAAGCAGTTGCAGGTGTCAGCCTCACGGACCACACCACAGTGCTGGCCCGTGTTACTGATTTTTAATTTCATTCTGCTGTGATTAGGGAAAGTACTTTTTTGACTCCAAGCCTAGAAACTGTAGAAGCTTGTTTTCTGTAAGTGGTTGCTCCAAGTGTTTTTGAGTCTCAGGTATGGATGCATTTTTTGTAAATTTTATTCATGATGGCTTGTCCCCTTTTATCACTACAAATATCCTTATTTATTTCTAACAATATTCTTTTCGAAAGTGTATTCAGCTGTTTTTTTTCTATAGCACTGCAAAATGGTTGTACTTGCTTCTGTCATTTTTCAGTCTTTTTGCTTTCAGTATATGTGACTTGAATTTAAAATGTGTTAGCTATAAATAATAGTTTAATCTTTTTCTCAAGTTTATTAGTTTAACTGTTTGATGCATTTTAATTTAATATTATCACTGATAGGACTTAGGTGTTTTTTTGATTTTTCTCTATATACCTCATGTTCTTTCATTTAAAAATTTTTTACATCATGCAAATTTTTATTACAATTATATTAACATCTGGGTGGATAATTGGCATTTCTGGTCACTAAATAATCTGGTCCATCTGACTTTTTTGCTAGAATAAATCATTGGTGGTAAGACTCTTTCACACCGTTTTGGGCTTTACCTTTTGTATAGGGACTGTAGCTGGTAGGTACTCTTTGAACATGGTTCAGTTTAGTCTCTTCCCTTCAACTGCCAGTGAACTGTCTCTGTTGGATTTTAAAAGCCATGGTTATTACCTCTGCTTGTCTTTCCTGTGGACAGTAAGACTTTGCACAAGCTCAAACTTGCTTTATTATTCTTGTTTTAACCGTGATTCATTTCTGCAGTGTGATAATTCTCTGTTTCTCTCTCTTTTAGGTATCCTATGATAAAAACTTGTTTTTTTTTTTTTTGGCTTTGAATTTCCATGTTTATATTTTTGAGATGTATCGAAAATGTTGATAGTTTAAATTGCGACGATCTGTTTTAAAGAGTACATGTTTTCCAAAGCTCTGTACTTTGTTCGCATATCAGATTCTGAATTTGTCATGCATTATTTTGACATTTTTTTTCTGTTTGTGTCTCCATTAATGAGAGACCATATGGCCTGCCTTTGAATTTTAGGAAAAATAGAATGTATGTATTCTCAATTTTGTCATAATTTATAGCTAGGTTGAAATTAAAAACTTTCAAGAAATGATCTGTAATAGAAAAATTATTAGACGCTTGTGTTGCCTGGTCTGGTGAATCAGCAGTCTGATAGTAACGGAGAGAGAACACTCACAGCCTTCCTGGTAAATCCTTTTGTTGTTTCTAGGTTTTACTTTTTGTGACATGCTTTGTTCTTGCCATTGATACCCTGTTAGTTATAAGCAATGATAATGGCCTGCATTTTTTCCTCCTACCCCACTGGAAGTTTTCCTTGCAGTTGAGTCTAAATTATACTCATGTTATTTGGTTTATCAACTGCATCCAGCTAGCTTGCAATACATGCCCAGCAAGCCTGTGAAGGTCTTGCAGTGGTGGGCTTCCTGATTGCCCCATGACCAATCCTGTCTTCAGAACTTCTCTCAGCAAGGGGTCTTGTGCAGCTTTATGTCAGGGATTCTCTTTTACTTTTCTGAGGTTATTTCAGGCCATCTTTCTCTTGTACTGTCAGTGTAGTACTCACCATATACAAACTCCTGCTGTTGATGTAAAATTTCCTTATAATTTCAGGGATACTATTCTAGGGTGATGTTAGGTGTTGAATCAAAACATCATATCTGGAATTTATATTTTGTGTCTGACGATTATTCCTCCATGTGTCCATAACTTGATAAAGTGCTTACATTAGTGCTGGCTTCAGCAGCACATGTTCTAAAGTATCTACACTAATTCATTCTTATTTTGGATCTTCAGGTAAGGTTTTACATGTAGCGGGCACTCAATAAATTTTATTTTTAGCTGAGTGATATCGTTTAGATTTTTTGTGAAGAAATAGTCATTGATGTATTCACTTAACATATACGTTTAATATGTATCTTTATTTTTTCTTATGAAAGTAATAATATACTCATTGTGGAAAATTGATAATGCAGAAGAATGTTACTAAACATCAGTAACTTTTCCGTATCTTTATTTATATATTTATGTGCGTAATTCTTCACATCCCTGTGTAACATCACTTTCCCTTGTCATTGTCTCCCAATTATTTCATAATGCAGTACAATTTGAAAATAATGTAACTATTTCTCAAGTTTATGAAAAATGGTTTTATGTTTATGAAAACAGATTATTTCTGTCATCTGTGATAACTTCATTGATTTTATATTCATTTTGATACTCTGTTAGGGTAGATTTATGCCTTTGAAAATTTATACCTTCGAGTAGGTTTTTATTTTGTTTTGCTTTGTTTTTACTATTTTTGTTCATTTGTTTCTCTGTTGCTGTTACATTAAATAATGATCCTATGCACCCTTTTGGGAAACTTCCTGCCCTGAAATTTTCCACCTAAGAGGCAGTTTCACGTAGGATTTAATGCATACTTCAGGTTATACGTTTGTTTCTACTATTGACTGGCTGTGTGATGTTGGATAGTTGTATAATCCAGGTTTCCTGATTGTAACAGTGGTTCTAATAGTCGCCTCCACACAGCAGTGTTTGGAGGAGTAACGCTTTTACTTGATGTTATATCAGGTCATACCAGTGCAGCATGTACCATGCCCAGCTGGAACGGATAACCGCTCTGATTGTCTGAATATTGCTTTCCCTGGATAGAGACATGCTTCAGTTAGAGCTGGCTGCTGAGTTTTAATTATGATGAAAATGTTTATAAAGATGATGATAATGATTGGACAGTGACCAAATTAAGTCATCATTAAGTGCCTGATAGATACTAAAGCCAGGTGGTTTTACATATTAATTTTATATCTAATATGACATTTTCAGATTCTGCTGAATTACTAATGTCAAAGCATTGAAAATCTGTTAAGAAGACTTAAAAAGGAGCACATGCTTTAACTCTTATTTTTATTCAAGTTTAACTAGAACTTTAGTTAAGCCTTGAGCTTTCCAAGCCTATAGAAAATATCCATTTATGCAAATTGACTTGAAAGCAATAGTTTTGTTAGTTTTAATCCTAGCTGATTTTCATGAGGTAGGTGTCTATTGCCATGCAGTTTTCTGTATTTATTGATACTTCTATCTGTAAATATAATCAAGATATAATTAAAAATTCTTCATTAACTTATTTAGTTTTTTTTTTATTGAGCTTAGTAGAGAAATATTCACATGACTGTTTTTCAAAATATTTAATTACTTGAAAAATCAGAGGTGTATATATGGAGGGGAACACATAGAGAATCTTCCATCTGGTCACTCCTCAAATGGCCACAACACTCGGGCCTGGGTCAGGCCAAATCCGTGAGCCGGGAGCCTCATCCTGGTGTCCCGTGTTGGTGCTGGGGCTCAAGCACTCAGGTCAATTTTTGCTGCTTATTGAGGCCTTTAGCAAGAAAATGTGTAGGAAATGGAGCAGCCAGGATATGGACTGTTACCAAGGCGGAATGCTGGCATAGCTAAGTCAGTGGCATTACCTAAAGTGTCACAGTGCTGGCCCCATTTACCTGAATCTTTTAAGGATTATATTTAAAGCAGTTACCTCATTATCTATAACTTTTAGATTTCACTTTATTTTCTTTCTACTGCTTTTTATATAGGATAAGGTAAAACTTCAACATGCTGTGAATGATGTATGTTGTTTTGTATTCTTTGAGCTGCAATTTTCTGTATATTAAAAAATTTGAAATGCCTTTTGAACTTTTCTGTAATCTAGACTTAAGCAAATTCTTTGTCTTGATAGCTGTCACAATGAAAATTGTACCTAGATATTGTTAATCCCTTTTCTGTTTTCTTTAGCTTGCCAGTGCAATGGACATAGCACTTGCATCAATACTAATGTATGTGAACAGTGTAAAAATCTTACGACAGGAAAGCAGTGTCAAGACTGTATGCCAGGTTATTATGGGGACCCGACCAATGGCGGACAGTGCACAGGTGAGTATCATCTCTTATTCTGAGAGCTTTGTGCTGCAGAAAGAGAGAAAATTGAGAAAGGTCTGGGAAATCTACGCTAACAATTCTGCCATGTGTTTGTGTTAAAAGTGCTACTTTTTCTAATCTCAAAATGAATGTCTGTTTAACATAGGAAATTTAGCTAATACAGATACTTGAAAAGTTACCTATAATTGTGTGTGTGTGTTTTTTTTTTTTTTACTGTTGGATTGTAATATTCTAAATACTGGGCAAATATAAGATTGTAAGATATTTTTTCTTGTTTAATGTGTTTTGAGAAATATGGAAAGCCATTCACTGGTTAAATTTTTATGTCCTTTCAGGTACAATTTTTAATAAATATGATGTATTTCTTTTTTATTATTACTGTTTTCCATGATACACATTTAGGTTCAGGAATCCCTCCCTCCCTCTCCTTTTTCTCTCTGCATTCTCCCTCCACCACTTTACTTTTCCCTATATAATCACAATAGCATAGTCCTTCAGCAGCAATCATAAGTGGAACATTCTGTTATTATCATGGCATTGTAGGTATAGGCAATTGTATCCTATGGTCAAGGTAAATTTAACGAATTTCATTACCAGTTTTCCTTTTATCTGGAAGTCGAGATGTGTACTGCAGTGTACCCTCACTTCTCTGTTCGCTAGTCTCCATTATATTTTCATCTATGAGAATATATTTATATGCACATTTACCTATCTAGCTATTTGTCTTGTACTTTGCCTGAAGGTTACCTATGTCATTGAGAACAGATGGTATCTGTTCCTTGGGGATTGACTTATTTCATTGAGCATGATGTTCTCTAGTCAAGAACAATTTGTTGTAAGTGGTACAATCTCATTCTTTGTAATGGCTGAGAGGTATTCCATGGAGTAAGTGTTCCAGCGTTTCTTCATTCCTCTTTCGATGGGCATCTGGGCTATTTCTGTGTCTTCACTATTGTGGATTGTGCTATCTACATAGGGTTGCAGGTCACTTTCTCATGTGCAGGTTTCACTTTCTTTGGATATATTCTCAGGAATGGCATGGCTGGGTCATACAGTAGATCAATTTTCAGTTGTCTTAGCACTCTCCACCCTGATTTTTTTCCTTGTTTTAAATTTATTTTTGTTGGAAAGTCAGATATACAAAGGATGAGAGAAGAGAGGAAGATCTTCATGGAGCCGTAGCCAGTGTTCATATGGGATCCTGGCATGTGCTAAACAAGGCCTTTGGTCAGTAGGCTACTGCACAAGGCCTGCTCCATCATGATTTTTAAAGTGGCTGCACTAACCTACATTCCCACCAAAAGTGGGAACTATTTTTTGCCAAAATATGTAGCATGATCATTTGAATGATTGTGTTAGCTACAAAATGCTTTATGTTAGTATGGTAGATTTTTATCATTTTGACAGTCATAGAGCTTTTCAAAATGTGCTCCCATTGGGAATTTTACTTATATTGTAGATTTAAGAGAGGTTTAGTTATTTCACATTAATTTTTGTTGCTGACATTATGTACCTGGCAACCCGACACACAATGCAATGGAAAATTAAATATGATGAGACACATGCCTGTGTTCCTCACTGTTTTGTGTTTTCTGGCAGTTTATGAGGCTTTAAATAATTCCTGCTAGTTTCAGTGACTCCTGAACTAGACCAGATAATAATTTTCCATCTATTTATTTTATGTGGTCATTTTCTATGTCAAAGTCATGATCACATTAGCCACCCAAGTAAAAAAAAAAAGTCAATCTGTTGCATCTTTTTTAGTGTAGTAAAGGCTAACTTGTTTTTTTTTTTTTTTTTACAAAACAGCAAATACAAACTCTGTTCAACTTTCTCACTTTTATTTCTCCTTTATGAGGAAAGCCTATATTTTCACCATTAAATACACACAGTAAGATTTAATACATAATTACATTAAGGAATAAAAGGGAAACATTCACATTTGAATGGTGAGGCTTCAAATATATTGCAGTTATATAGTATTTAGGTACTTAAGCTTTTAAAAAATATTTAAAAATTTTTGTTAATAGTATATACATGTACATTTGAATTTTTCAGATTGCTCTTAGGATGTGTCATGTGGTTATTATATGGCTAGGCTATTATTGTAAGTGATTTCTGAAATTATTATTAAAATTATTTTCTCATTAATGTTCAAGAAGATTTTCTGTACCAGACTTGATCTGGAACTTAATGTATGCATAGCAGCTACTATATTTTGAACCATATTCAGTACTATATTCTGTACCATTTTCTGTACTATGCTCTGTGTATTCTATACCATATTCTCTGCTATAGTAGTACAGCTGTCAGAGAATATAACCTTGTGTTTGGAGCTTTGACTCTGGAACTGTGCTTCCTGAGTTGATATCCTGCCAACACCGTTGCCACTTGGTGAATTACACTTGCAATGTCTCAGTTTCTTCCCTGCAAAATGCAGGTTTAAAAACTTTGTGTTATAACTCTGAGATTAAGTGACTTTCTTACATATGAAATAATGTTTCTTTTGTTAATTCTCCGGTGCTAGCTATTACTGTGAGACTATTTTTACTATTCACAATATCCATAGGCATAATTGTAGTAGTAAAAAGCCTATTTGGGCTATCCTAAAATTCGCAATCTTCAGTAAAAATCACACCTGAATATTATAAGCTGCTAAATATAAAAATGAAAACCATTTTAAGGTTTATAGCAACCAGTTGTGTACATACTAAAATTGAGATGTCGATGAAGTAGTTACAGGATGTGGTTGAGAACTTGCATTTTCTAGCGTATTGGTCACTCAATACCAGGTTAATTAACTTTATGATGTTGTAAATTGTTGTTGAAGTTGTGTTGTGGCTTTTCATTGGAGGGGATGACATTCTGCTAGCTCCACTTTCAGGCCAGGCATGGTCTCTCAGTGCAACTGTTGAATTTATCTGGACAGTGGGATGCTGGAAATCTGCGTGGTCCATGCCCACAATGAAGGAATCATGACTGGATATGAACTGTGCTACTATAACAATATGTAGGAATTCAGTGTGGGGGGAGGGGTTGGGGGAATCCCAGAGCCGATGCAACTGTGTCGTAAAATGAAATTTAAAAAAAAGTAAATTTAAAGTTACTCATATTATAAAATATAAACAGATTTAGTGTACTTCTAGTGACTAGATTTTTAGATTTTAAAAGAAGTATATAAAAACCCAGTTCAGTGTTTATTTAGCAGTATAGCTTATTTTATTACAAAACTCACAGCTTTTCAGCTTCTTGCTGAATGTTTCCTTATAAGGTCTGCTGTTCTTCAAATTAGTTCAAAAATTGAATACAGTCACATTATTGCTTAAAAACACTTCTGGCTTCTTAGATTTGGTTTCAATGTTACTTTGGATTTTTCCCTTTTTCTTCAACACTTACCCTCCTTCCCAGTCTTCCTCCAGCTAGACAGCAGGATGTCCAGTTCTCTTCTGTACATTTCATTGGGCTTGTTAGTTGAGGTCTCCGTGGCCTGTCTTCTGTTGCTGTTGTATGTTAACAGATTACTTCAAGTGATTTTGGTGCTCACTATTATTTGTTGAATTTATGTATGAATGCCCTTCCTGTATATAATGTCTTGCTTCTACCTGCAAATTGTGAAATAGATAACAAACTCCTCTATTCTCTGACCTCCAAAAATTTTTTCTCATTTACTCTCCTACTGTGTTTTTTGTTAAATTTTTGTTTTACATCTTTGTATTTCACATTTTTGACAGTGCAATTTTTCTTATTAGCTCCAAGCACTATAATAAAAATACAGCTAATAGTTACTTGCAGTTTATGTTAAACACAAACTTTAAAGTAATCCTAAGTATTGTATAAAGTACTTAAAGTATGTCTGGGTTGTTGCTAAGTCATCATTTATCTACCTCGCTATTTTGATAGTGAGTGAATTTCTTTTTTTAAGATTTATTTATTTTTGTTAGAAAGACAGACAGATAGAGAAGAAGATCTTCTGTCTGATGGTTCACCCCTCAAGTGGCTGCAATGGCTAGAGCTGAGCCAATGCAAAGCCAGGAGCCAGAAACTTCCTCCAGGTCTCCCACGTGGGTGCAGGGTCCTAAGACTTTGGACTGTCCTTGACTGCTCTCCCAGGCCACACGCTGGGAACTGGATGGGAAGTGGGGCTTCTGGGATTAGAACTGGTGCCCATATGGGATTTTGGCACATTCAGTGTAAGAACTTTAGCCACTAGGCTATAGCGACGGGTTCCATGTGAATTTCTTGATGGGAAAATTTTATCTTAGGCAGTAACATTGTGCTTGGCACATAGTTAACATTTTATTCGTGCCAGAATAAACAAATTTTTATTTGTGTGATTTGTTTTTCTCATTTTCATGTTAATTAAAATAAAAAATGTTTCTGGACTAGTTAGCTAGTTTCCTTCGTCAACAAATGTGTTCACTTTAGAAGACACAACATGGCCTTCTCTTTTTAGTTTTGGTTTTTCTGTTTTCTTTGATTTCTCAATAATATAGATAATAGTGAAACAGTATTGGTTTCAGCATGTGTATTATATTTCCTCTGAATGAAGATTGCCTTTAATAGTTATAAGTGATATTTTACTCAACTCCTAACTCTTATTGAGCAGTAACCCAATATTTTCTACATAGATTTGCATTGATCAATGGTAACAAAAGTTATATATAAACTAAATAAGGATGAAATGCTATAATTTATGTAATTCTCTTCAGTTTCTAGTTTTTCTTGGATATGTGGACTATTAATTTCTGTAGAGCTAGAACACTCTCCCCTGCTGATCTGGGCAGACCCTGATTCTTAGTCTTAAAAGGGCTAGCACTAACTCATTGGATTGTTTCAGGGTCCATGGCCAAGTACAGCATCTTCAGTATTTCATCCAGGCTAACAGAGATGTGTTTCCTGATGGATTCATGAGCATGTAAGCCTTTTCTGGAACCACGATAGCGTAGGGCTTGAGTTGATTTGTAAGGCTATTCAAAGATCCACAGTGTGCCCAAGGACAGTGACAGCTGTACCTCTCTGGATTCCCAGGAGGACAGCACTGCTTCTTGCCCAGAAGCAAGAGTTCTGGCCTGAGATCCAAGGTTCTTTCAGGATCCACTGTGGGATTAAAGTTGATAAGCTTCTCTTGGAGACTCAGAAGGCTGGTCTCATTATAGGATTTTGGCTGGGCAGAACTATTTGTCACCTGCAGCTGAGAGGGGCCAGGACTAAGATCTGGGGTTCTCTCAGGATCTGCTGTAGGAGTGAATCTTGCAAACCGTTTGCAGTGCCACAGATTGAGGAAATCTAGCAATTCCTGGTGTATTTGGGATGTTCCTAGTTTACGACAGGCTGGCTGGAGTTGAGATTAGGGTCTCTTCAGGATCTGTTTTATAGCTGCAAAATGGGTGTTTGTTAGTTCTGAAGAATAGAATTTTACACTATGTTGCTGTTTACAAATTTATCTTTGCCAGAAATTTAACTATGTTTGAAATATAATCTATAACATATCTATTAAATTTCATTAATTATGCTGGAAGAATACCAGCAAAATTAAGTCAGTTTAGTCTTCCAGTCTCCAGAGATTATTGTTATATGTCTAGAACAGAAAACAATGGCATAGCAATGAAAGAATATTAGAATGTAAGCTGACTTTGAAACCAGCACTGTGAATGAATTACTTTTTGGTTCAACGTTTGTAACATGCATTTATTTTGGAGATAACTTTATTGAATAATCTTTATAACATCTGTTAAGTCTTTATTCAGTTTTGCTTATAATTTGCTATTACAAATTTATATTTTAAGGGAACAAAAGTAACATGTGACCATATTATGTTTCTCTAGTGTATATCTAGGCTATAAAATTATCATATTATAAAATTTTCTAAACAGGAGGCCACTGTATGATGATTTCATATCTGCTTATTCAGCATAAAAACATAGTTTCAAATGCTGACAACAGCAGAATAATTTCAAGACTGTCATGAAGTATAAATTTTCAACAATTGAATTTAAAATACATTTGTGCTGTTTTATCCTGAAGTACAATGCCACAAGGGAGTTTTCAGAAAATGATCTCACAGAAAGTACATTTTAACACATTTTTCATTTCGGAAATTACTAAGTAATGATAATTCTTTCTTTAAAAAACTCTGTAAGCGTAATTATTACCTAGTCTTGCTATTAAAGGTAAATGAAAGGCTTATCCAACCTTTAAAACCTCAATATATGTAATTTTAGTGAAGTTCTGTTTATTAGACAGTGTTAATATGAAACTATGGTGATAAATATTAAAAGATTTCATGATATATTCATTTATTATTTATGAAGCTACATATTACCAATATAGATTAATATCCCTGTTTTGTTTGATAATAGTATCCTTTGTTTTACAGTTGTATACCTTGTCTTTATTTTATAGCTCTCATATCTTGTTTTCTGTAAACGTAAAGGAAAATTATGCAGATTTATTTAAGTACTGCATATGACACAAAATCAGTAATTTTGTATTAAAAATCTCTTCTAATAAAATGCCAGTTCTTAGAAATCTTTGAAGTACTGATAATGATTTTACATGTATGTGGATATGTGCACATTTACTTTATTTATCTATAGGTCTGTATTTGTTTACTTAAGAGAAAGAGAAAAAGAGAAAGAGTGACAGAGGAGACATTCTGGTTTTGTAGTTTTGTCTGCAGTCGCAGACTGGGCTGAGCTAAAACTGAGAACGCAGTCCTGGTCTTCCATGTGTTTGCAGGAACACAATTCCCTGACCGATTCCCACTGCCTTCCCAGATCTGCAGGGGTGTGAAGCTGGATTAAAGGGCTCTGAATTGAATCCAGATACTCTGATGTGAGAGTTAAGCTTTTGAATGACTGGGCTAAATGCTCACCACTATAGCTATCTATTATTTTCAAAAGTAATGATAATCATTTAGTAAGAAGCTTGATGTTTTCATCAAAAAAATGTTTTTAATGCTTTTAGGTTCCAACACAAGTTTGTTTGCTGTTAATTGTTTCATTTTGTTGTTTTCAGAAAAAATATGATTTCAATCTTTTAAGACTTATTAACTAATCTTTTAAGACTTATTAACTAATCTGTTAAGACTTATTTTATGGTCTAGTATGTCTATCCTAGAGAATTTTTCATGTATTTGTAAAAAGAACATTTATCCTGTAAAAGTGTGAAAAAATGATGTTAGAAGCTCATAAGAATAAAATGTGTATTTTAATACAAAATATGTTGTCTTCATATTATCAATAGTAGCAATAGTGTAAGTTATGTTACGTGTATCATATATGTCAACTATTCTCCATTACATAATCTCATTTAATTATCACATCTATCTTGAGAGCTAAGTGCTATTCTTTTTTTGGCAGATGAAGAAATTAAGCCAAGAGAGGTTAATAAATTTTCTAAGGTTATATAGTTATTGATTATACTTGTGTCTTTGGAAGCTGAGCTGCTTGACTAAAAAACTTTTGTTTTAATTAAACATTTCATTTGGAGAAATGCCAAGCCAAAAAAGAGACTGAAAGAAGATTAAGAGATATATCTGTGGTAGACTTCAGGATACCTCTGAACTCTATTTTAAAGAGTCTCAGAGTTATAGGGAAGTTAACTTATTTCACTTTAAAAGTAGGTTACAGATTGAATGTTGTAGCACCACACGTCAAGCTTGCACCTGTCCACCAGTTTGGCTCTCTTCTGCTGTGCTTGGGAAAGCAGCCGAAGACGGACACAGTACTTGAACTTCTGCCACGCACATGGAGACCTGCATGGAGTTCCTGACTCCCAGCTGAGGCCTGGCTCAGTCTCAATGATATTGGTCGTTTAGGGAATGAACTAGCAAATAGAAAATCTTCCCCCTGGGTCTCCCTCTCCTTCTGTCTATAACTGTGATTTTGATTTAAATAATGGATAAATCTTTTAAAATTATCAATTTATTAGGGGCTAGTATTGAAGTGCTGCAGGTGAATCCTCCACTTGTAATGTTGGTGTCCCAGAGGCATGGCTGTTCTGCTTCTGATCTAGTTTCCTGTGGATGTGCTTGGAAAGACTGCAGGAGCTGGCCCAGGGACTTGGGCCCCTGTCATCCATGTGAGAGAGAAGAACTGGAGGTCCTAGCTCCAGGCTGTGGTGTGGCCCAGCGCTGGCTCCTGCTGCCACTGATAAGAGAAACAGAAGATCTCTCTATGCTTTTCAAATAACTAACTAAATCAGTCCTTTAAAATTAAGTTATAAGATTTGATAACTGTGGTTTTGAGATAGCAAGAAGAAATGATATATAAATAAGGAGATAAATTCAGTAAAATATGATGTGCATGTTTAACAATGTAGAAAACTCACTTTTAATGTTGGTTTTGATTTACAGCTTGTACATGCAGTGGCCATGCAAATATTTGTCATCTACACACTGGAAAATGTTTCTGTACAACTAAAGGAATAAAAGGTGATCAGTGCCAATTGTAAGTAAAATCGACTTTTTAGGACTTTCATACAGTGAATTTGTGTTAAAGGGATAATTTTATGGATTTTATTTTTCATATTTAGTGAAAAATATTCTGATATTACAAGATATTTTAGTTGCATCTTATCAAATCTTAAAAAAACTAAACCTTTCAAAATGAAAATTTTGTGTAGGCCTTAAAACAGTACTAATAGGATTCGGTTTGTTTTTCTTTTTTAATAATAAGGGCGTTTTATTTTTCATGGAAACCATATCCTATGTATCACATCTGTATTATCTTTAGGATTTTGCTCCATATCTTATAAAATCTAATTCATCCATGTCTTTTTTTTTCATTTTCATGGTTTATTCTGATAATTATATCCCTTTAACGCAGTATAATTTATTAATTTCATCTTCCTCTTAATTCCATTTTTTTCAAAAATAGGAACCCACTATTTTTGTTACTCCACATTCACTACTTCTCTGAGTCATTTTTGTCTTTTTATCATTTAGTTATTATTCTTTAAAGTATTCCCTACCCTCCAAAATTAACTTTAATATTAGTGGTTGCAGGTTATTTAAATTATTTTTTCTTCATCATGCACCTGGAATTCCGATGTGGTATCCACATGGTGATAGAAGTCTCAAACTGACCCATCTGTTTTTGGACTGGTCTTTGTTGAGTGAAACCTGTTAGTAGTTCTAAAAGTCTTGTTGTTGAGGTTCATTTGTACACTTAAAAATTGTTACGTGAGTTACATTAAGTAGTATTTACTGCACTAGAAATTTTAAATGAGACATTTAAAAATATTTGATTATATGTAATAATTGTAATCTGTTAAATAACACTTCATTGAGTAATAACTGCTTGATTAACTTCCTAAAATAGCAAAAACATAGCTAGAAGGGTGACATTACTTTAAACTTTTACAAATTCCTTTAGCACCTGACACTGGCAGATATGTAACTGGATGGTTACATATGAGCTTATGGTCTATTTATGATGCTTTGGTTGCAATACATTCAGAAAATCTGGTCTTACATAGATGGTGCAAAATGAAACCGAAGGCTTTTTTTTTAACAACTCTTTTTATAGAATTGTGACTTTTTTCTGGTATTTACCCCAAAACTGACATAGTTGACTTGCAGTATATGATCTGCAGCAACATCAGTGAACTCATTATATTCTACTTTTGATCATTCAGTCTGTATTGGATGCATGAAAGAGCCATTCAGAGTGCAGTATTGACTCTATTCTTTTGTGTCTATTGTCTTTAAATTGACATCATTTTGAGATACTCAGGTTGCTGCATCAAGGTAGCTGTAATTTGATCCTCTCGCTGTTGTAGAATATTTCATGCTGTGATTGCATGATAGTATATTCATTCATTATACTCTTTTTCCTGATTAATAATTCTAGTTCATTTTTGTTGTTGAGTTAGTATTTTATGATTGTGTTTACATATGGCTTCTTTCTCATAAATGCACATTTAATGTTGTGTATAATTTGGATATGTGTGTTTGTATTTCCAACTTTGAAGGATTGAATCTTTATAAAAATGTTTGTTAAAAATTTCTCCAGAAATAATGGCTGTATACAGCATATATCCTTACTCTTAAGTAATAGTAGGATTCCCATTATTATGTATAAGTATACTTTTACATTGAGATACTTTGTTTTCTTACTTTTCTTTACTTGCAATGTCATGATATATTTTATATATTAGAAAGTTAAGTTTGCAACAATGAAATGAATAATTATGCTATTAATAACTTGTGAACAAATGAGAGGAGGAGGATATTGGGAAGGAGAAGGGTGAGGAGGAAGAGGAGGAATGATCCCCTAAACTTACAAATTTGCATCACAGAAAAAACAAATAAATTTTAAATAAATTCAAGAAATCTCCCTGCATCTTAATTTTCTAATTTTGTATTACTATTAGCCATGTATTGGAAAACCAGTATATCCACAGGCTCATAAGCTGAGCAACTTGCATTTTTTTCAAATGGTTTATTTAAATGAATGTCAGAGAGAGAGAGAATAAGATTGATTGATTCTGTTCTGTGAGAGTCCAGTCTCCAAATTTCAGTATGCTGGGCTGGGCTAGGCCCAAGTCAAGCATCAGGAATTTCATCTCAGTCTCCCACTGAGGCAGCAGGGAATCAAGCAGTTGAGGCATTATCTGCTGACTCCCAGACCTTTTGCAGGAAGCTAGACCGGAAGTGCTGAGCAGCCTGGATTCTAACCAGGTACTCTGATACAGGATAAACACATCCTAAGTGGTAACTTGGTCCATTCCAGAATTCCACCTGTATTGCTGTTTTCAAATTTTGTCAAGCTGAAGCGGAGGATTGATACTGTGATGCAAATTTAACTCAATTTTTTCTTATTATGAGTGAAGCTGAGCTTCTCTTTACATGTGTAAGAGCAACTTTATACTTTTTAAAGTAAACTGTCTGTTCATATCTTTTGACAATTTTATATAGAATGTTAAGGTTCCTTCTCTGTGTTTTTAAAAGAGTATTTACTAGTATCATGGCTTTAGTCCTTTTTAATGAAATCTGTTCAAATATTTTGTCCCAATTTATCACATATTTTAAAATTTCCTAATGACCTTGTTTTGCCTTTGAACTCTTTTATGTGAAAAACTAAGAAATATTTTTAGCTTAGTCTTCATGAAATTGCGTTTTGAATTTCCTTGATGATTAGGAAGCATGTTGTTACCCCTGAAATAACCCATTTTTTCCTCTAATATGTGGTATTTTTTGCATTTGAATTTTTTGTTTACCTAAGGTTTTATTTATGCTGTATTCTGTATTTTTTCTATGGCTATATAGTTACATAACAGTATTTCTTAAGACTGTCTTCAAGCAATCATTTAAGGCATTAATTAAACCGTAAACTTTAATATATGAGAGCTAAGCCTATTTCTAGAATTTGTTTTGCATATCTTAGGTGCTTAAAATTCTTTGAATAATGCAAGGCATTGAAGCCAATAATTGATACTTACATTCAACTCATAATTGTGTATTTTGAAGACACACAAAACTCTAAATTACTGATACAAAATACTTTAGAGGTTGTATATTACAATTAATGTTTTCGAGTTGTAACAATTTAACTGAGAATATTTTTAACACTGGCTTTTAAAAAATTTATTTTAAAGCAGATTTTATGGAAAGAGAAGGAGAGATAGTGATAGAGGGCTTTCATTTACCAGTTTACACCCAAATTGGCCGCAATGGCCAGAGCTGAGTCCTTCTGAAGTCGGAAGCCAGGAGCTTCTTCCAGGTCTCCCACATGGGTGCAAAGTCCCTAGGACTTGGGCCAATTCTGCTGCTTTTCCAGGCCAACAGTAGAGTTCTGGGTGGGAAGTGGAGGAGTTAGGACATGAGGTGATATCCATATGGGATGCTGGTGTTCCCTGTGGAGCATTAGTGTGCTATGCCACTGTCTTGGCCCCAAAATGTGTGAGAGAGGGCCAAAGAAATAGAGATTGATCTTCTTTTCTCCAGTTCACTTCCTGGCTTGCCACAGTTGCCTGGCTGGGCCATGCCAAAGCCAGGATGTCGAAGCCTGATCCAGGTCAACCACTGTCAGTGACAGGGCCAGACACTTGGCTCCTCTTCCATTAGCAAGGAGTTGGATCAGCCGTGGAGCTTCTGGGTTATCCCAGTCTTAGTGTTAAAATTAGCAAGAGTTACTCACTAAATAACATTATATAATTTCATTCTTCTGAGAAAATGTATGTTTTGGAGACAATAACATTTCTTCATTCAAGTGTTAAAGATATATACAGATATAATAATTTCAACTTAATATATGATTTAATTTTAATACAGTATACATTATTAGACTAAAAGAAAAACAAGATTCCTAATTAGAGAACTGAGATTATATGTTGGGTCTCTTTTTTTCTATTCTTGAGCTATGTCATCAACTAAGTATATTTGAAATTGATTGTCATTTTTGAAAATTAGTGGGTTTTTAAATTGCTTTGGTTCTTTGAAACCATCCATTTGAGTGTGTAAGATATTCAGGAAGTCTTACACACAAAAATAGGGAATATTATTTTAAATATTTTTTCTCTGTAAATGGGAGCATTGAGATAGTCGTTTACAACAAAGCAAATTTATTTTTCACAATAGATTGAATCAGAATGTCATATATAAATGAGTCCTTCAGTGGTGTGTGTGTGTGTGTGTGTGTGTGTGTGTGTGTGTGTGTGTGTGTGTGTGTATGAAGTGCTTGGCTTAGCAACGGTGAATATGGTAGTCTTTAAGGATAGAAGACAACCATGTCATGAATTTTAAACGAAGTATTTGGAGAATTGTAGAAAACAAAGTGATTTTGTTTCACGGAGTTAGTTGTTTAAGGGACTATCATGTTTCTAATTTATTATTTAGAATAATCCTTCATTTTGTTGCATGAATACAAAAACTAGCAAACACAGCAAATGCACTGAACATGTAAGATAATTTTTTACCCGAATGTTCTCACTAAGTGATTCATCTAACATGTATTATCTAGTATTGAGTAAATAATGTATGTTAAATTACTCCTTACTAATCAAATCTACTAAGGCTAAAGAGATTTCATAGATTTCTCTTACCTCTGTAAATTTCAATGTAAGTTAAATATTAACTCACCTTATGCAGTTATCTTGGGGTATGTATATAGTTTTGCAGTATGTTCCATGCGATAGCATTATGTAAAAACATAGTGCTGTATCTCTGTTTGACCTTGTCATGTTAGTTGTACTTTGGAAACAGAGTGAAAGATGTGTATTCTAAAGATTCTGAAAAAGCAATGATTTTGTCCCATTGCAGTAAGCATTTTGATACATTTATCTTCAGATTCATTAGTTAGAAGTCTCATATTCTATTTTTGAAATAAGCTGCCTACATAAATTAAAATTTTTATCTTATAAATTTAATTCATATGCATCTATTTTATTCGATCTGACTGTTTAGAGAAATCTAAAGCTTTTCTGTATTAAACAACTGTAGAGACCTTTTTAAATTTGATTTCGTTTGAAAGAGTTACAGAAAGAGGAGAGACAGCGAGAATGAGTGCGAGCTTTCGTTGCTGCTTCACTCCACAGATGTGTGCAATGGTCCGGGCTGGGCCAGTCTGAAGTCAGGTGCTTCTTCCGTATCGCCTGTGTGGTTGCAGGGCCCGGGGACTTGGGCCTTCCTCTGCTGGCTGCTTTCCCAAGCCTTAAACAGAGAACTGTATCCGAAGTTGAGCAGCAGGAGGAACACAAATCGTTGCCCAGTGGGGATTCTGGCACCAGAGGTAGAGAATTAATGTGCTACAGCCCTGTACCAACAATATAAAAATCTTTTTAGAATTAATTGGTGTAAAAACTAGGAGTCCAGGGAGGGTGAAAGGGACAGTATCACCAGAAAACCTTAGTGGGCTCTTCCCTCAGGTCAGTGTAGAAATAAAAAGCTACAGGCACAGCAGTTTTATTTGCAAAATGACCGGGTGAACGTGGAAATGGAAAGCGGCTCCCACGAGAGGATCAGCAGATGCGGTGCCTCTTGAAAGCAGAGGGCGGTGAGCCTAGGTTTTCAGGATGGTCTTGGGATCCCCGGCGTGCCCTGGTCCCTTCTTGTCTGCGTGGAAACTTGCAGGGAAAATGTTCCCCATTGGTAGTCTCTCAACCAGTTAGGAAGTGAATGACAATTGCTGTGCCACCCACTTGAAAGTGTAGTCAAGGTTTTAGCGGGCTTGGATAATTTCAGATACATTAATTTCAAAGCTCAGAAATAGCAAGGAAATAATATGGATTGTGAAATTTTTATTTTTTAATATCTTCTGTATCTCTATTCACACTTTCAACTTCTCATTTTATTAACAAATGGTAAACATATCAAAGCTTATAATCTGATCTCATCTACCTTGGATGTACCTAATATTCTTTTGTGTATCTTTATTTTCTTCCTATCCATTTTTTTTAACTCATGTTCAGATGCAGGTTTTCCACAATTATTTCCATTTGAAGGCTTAGTTGTCTTTTTTTCCCCCGTTAAGACTTATTTATCTGTTTGAAAGCCCGAGTTGCGGAAGAGAATGAGAGAGAAAGAGATGCAGAGAGATATCTTTCATACACTGATTCAGCTTCCCAATAACTGAGATGGTTAGGCCTGGGCCAGATGGATGCCAGGATGCTGATCTCCCATGTGGGTGACTGGGTTCCAAGCCACTTGGCCACCTGCTGGTGTTTGTCCCTTGGAACTAGCAGGGAGCTGGACCAGAAGTGGGCAGCCAGTACTCCTCTAGGGCTCAGATGGGATGCCAGCATGAAAGGCAGAGGCTTAACCTACTGTACCAAGCAGTGGCCCTTTGAAAACTGAGTTTTAAAATTCAATTAATGACAGTTTTTGAGATATTTAATGTGGACTGTACTCTTTTGTCATGAGGAAAAACAAGTTTCAAGTTGCATTTGTTTAAATGAGTTTTTTTCCTACAGATGCGACTCTGAAAATCGCTATGTTGGCAATCCACTTAGAGGCACATGTTATTGTAAGTATTTGCATTTAAAAATTTTTTAATTAGTTTTTTTTTAATTTTAGAAAATGAATTGTCTTGAATAACTAAAATTATCCTTATAATTTTCATTTCCTAATTATTATAATGCAGCTAACTATGTTTTTTCAGAAAAGGCAACACCATTTTGTTGGGTTCTTGCGTTTGGTGCATTTTTTTCCTATTCTTTATATTTTTGCTATTCTTAGCCTGAACATATATCAAAATATGACCTTGAATACACTTAGATGGTTAAGTGGAATCTTCTTGCTTATGATTAGTTTTTGAACAAATAGAATTTTATGGTACAGTTTTTCTAGGGTTTAATTTTGTGCATTACCAAAAAAAAAAAAAAACCTGCAGTGATTTGTATCAAAGGATACTTCCGTTGGCTCATGATCCTATGGTGAACGTCTGTGTAACTTTTAAAGACAGCTGTCCTGTTTCTAAATTGTGTATCAGCTTTCATTCCCCCAGTGGGCTGAAGCTTTGGTTTTTCCACGTTTTTCAACCCTTTGTTCATTTGTTCTTGGAAATCTTAGCTGTTTTAATATGTGTGTAATGGTCTGTAATTTTCATTTTTATCTGCATTTTTAATGCCTTATGTTAAGTGTCTTTTCATGTTATTATTTGTCATTTATAAATGTTATTAGGTGAAGTATCTGTTATTGTGTCATTTGTTTCTTACTACTCAGTTTTCAGGATACTTTATACCTGGACAGAAGTCCTTTATTTAATAGATGATTCAAAAGTATTAGTGTTTATAGTTCTCCTTTTCATTCTGTTAGCACTATGTTTTGTGAACAGAAATTTTCAATTTAGATGAAATTGAACTTAGCACTTTTGGTTTTCTGAGAAATCTTACACAAAGGTCAAAGTTTTTCAAAAGTATTTTGTGTGTAAGTTTTATATTTGTGAAGCTTTTGAATGCATGTATGACCCATTTCAAGTTATTGTCTACATAAACTATTGAAAATGAACATATATCTGAATGTAAATGTTCAAGTTTTCAAGTACATACAGAATTTGTTTGTCTTAGGTAGATTTGAGTCATTGTGCACCTATTTCGAATACAAGCTTTTTCTGTTTATGTGAGGTCTTTCTATAGTCTCTATTTGTTTACATTAGTCTTTTTTTTTTCTACTTTTAGGCCAAGTTAGAATTTTGGATTAGCAAGTTTGGGGTGAAATTGACACTTTAAGTATAGTGATTCTCTTGACTTGTTAACATAGTACATAGCTTAGTTTTAAATTTTATATTTATTTAATATTTGGCTTTGAGTATACACAGTATATAAATATACATATCAGCCTTTTTCCCCTTTGGTCAGCAGAGATACTAATATTAAAGAGAGGAATTCGTGCCAATTGTGAAGTAGTTATTGTTATATACATGGTGTGATTCAATGAAAAAAAGCATTTCTGCTAAATACCTGGTGAGGTGATATCCACATAATTTTTATGCCTTCTTTTTGTCCTTTCAGGCCTAGCCTATTTCATTTAGCATAATTATGTCTAGTTGCATCTACTTTCTTGAAAATCTAAGGATTCCGTTCTTTTTCATGGGCAAATAATATCCACAGTGTACATATAATACATTTTCTCTATCCAGCCCCTAGTGTATCTAGGTCATTCCTTATGTTTACTATTGTGAATTGAACTTGTACCAACAGGAGAATACACATGTCTCATACGCTGATTTTATTTTCTTTGAATATTTTTCTAGGAGTGAGATAGCTGTATTATATGGAATCTACTTTTAATTTTCTAAAGATTCTCTGTAAATATTTCTCTATAATAACTGCACCAACTTGTGTTTCCACCAGCAGTATTTTAAGATACGCTTTTCTCCATAACTTCACCAGCAATTGGTATATTTATCTTTGTATATCACACATTCTGGTTCTCATGAGGTGGTACCTCATTGTGGTTTTTATTTGCATTTCTCTGTATTTTCATGTGTCCACTGGCCATTTGTATTGCATCCTTTGGAAAAAGCATGTTCATCATCTTTACCCATATTTTAGCTGCATTGTTTTGTTGCTGTAGAGTTTCTTGAGTTCTTTGTACATGTCCTGGATTTTAATCATCTGTAAGATGCATTTTTTTTTCCCCAAAATAAATTGTTTTGGTTGTCTGTTCACAGTGGTAGTTGTTGTCTTTGTTGAGCAGACTGTTTTTGCTTGTATTGCTTGTGCTTCTGGGATCATATCTAAGAATCCTTTGGTAAGGCCAATGTCAAGCAGCATCTATCCTATGATTTCCTGTTATAATTTGATTATTTCAGATATTACGCTTAGATACTTTTTTCTATTGTAAGTTGATTTTTGTAGAGGTTGTAGGATAGAGGTCTTGTTTCAAACATCTGCGAGTAGAATTCCAGTTTTGCAACATCATTTGTTAAAGAGACTGTCTTTCTTTGCAGGGGATGTTTTTAGTTTGATACAGATTAGTCAATTAGAGATATGTGGGTTAATTTCTGGGGTTTCTCAGATTGCTTTGGCATACGTGTCTATTCTGTTGCCATATTAGGATATTTTGATTATTATTGCCTTGCAGTGTTTCTTGAAATCTGGTATTATGATGTTTTTGGCCTTGTTTTATTATGTAAAATTGCTTTGGTTATTTATATTTACATATGAATTTGGGGGTTGTTCTTTCTAGATATGTAATGAATATCCTTTGAGTTTTGGTGGGATCACATTGTAAATTTCTCCAGATAGGCCTGGAAATTCTGATGATTCTGGTTTTTGTAGTCTATAAATATGGAAGATTTTTCCATTTTCTATTTTTTTCATATTAAAGTTCTATAGTTTTTATTGTAGAAATCTTTCACATCATTTGTTAATCAGCTCTAGATATTAAAATATTTCTAGACTGGTCTGTGCCATAAGCTAAGCTTCTGCCTGTGGCATCAGCATTTCACGTGGGTACCAGTTATCGTACCAGTTATTTCAAGCTCACTCCCCGCTTGTTGCCCTAGGGAAGCGGTGGAGGATGGCTCAAGTCCTAGGGTTCCCACCCCCATGGAAGAAGCTCCTTGGTGCTGGTTTCTGATTGGCCCAGCTCTGGCCTTTGCAGCCATTTTGAGAATGAACTAGTGAATGGAAGATCTTTTTCTCCCCTTCCTTCTGTACCTCTGCCTTTCAAAAAAATAATATTAGTAAAAAATTTTTGTAGGTATAATGCATGAGACCTTTCTCAACCAGAGCATTATTGACATAAGAATGCCATTGATTTTTGTTGCTGATTTTGTATCCACAGCTTTTCCAAATTCTCTTCTGAGTTCTGACAAGCTCTTGTGGAGTCTTTTGCTTCTCCTGTATATTGGATCATGCTCTGTGCAAGCAGGAATAATTTGATTTGCTCGTTTCCAATTTGAATTCCTTGGATTTATTTTTCTTGCCTCATGCGTATAACTAAAACTTCCAGAACCACATTGAATAATAGTGGTGAGAGTGAGCAGACTTGTCTGATTCTAGATGTTTGTGGAAAGGCTTTCAACTTCCCCCCATTTGATGTGATGATGCCTATGGGATTATAATATATTGCCTTGATTGTGTTGAACTGTTTGTCTTCCGTAAACAGTTTTTAAAAACATTTATTATTTTCCATGATAAAGTTTTATAGGTATAGTGTTCTTTCCTCCCCTTGCTTCATCTCTGCCCCCTATTCCTGCTTTTATTGCCCAGTTTATCACGATAATTTAGTCCCTTAGTAGCATTCTGCTATTTACATGTATTATGATGTGGTAGGTATAGGTAAAGGTGGAAAAATCAAGTATCATGCTGCACAAGTATGCTTACATGTTTCAGAATGGGAGTCCTGCTTTTATTTAGCAGTAGAGATGCCTGTGGTCTCTATTACACCACTCATCTGTGACAATATATATATATACTTGATTACCTATATCTATTTATTTTGTAATTTGCCTAAAGGCTGTCTTAGAGTACATATGAAAATTTTCCCTTTGTAGAAGTTTTTTGTTTTAATTATGAAAGGATGTTGTATTTTATCAAATGGTTTCTCAGCATTTGTTGAGATTATTATATGGTTTTTATAATTCACTCTGTTGATGTGGTATGTCACAATTACTCATTCGCGTATGTTCAGCCATCCCTGTATCCCTGGGGTGAATCCTGCTTCGTTGGAGTGGATGATCTTTCTGTTGTGCTACTGGCTTCTAGTTGCTCTATTGGCTGCTCTTTTGTTGTATATTTGTGCATCTGGGTTCATCCAGGAATGCTGGTCTATCGTTTTTTTTTTTGTTGTAGTACCCTTCCCTGTTTTTGAAATTAAGATAGTGTTTCACACACAAAATGAGTTTTTAAGAGTCCCTTCTCTTTCAGTTATTTTGTATAGGTTAAGAATTTTTGTTACATTCCTTTAAGTTTGGTAAAATTCAGCAGTGAAGTCTTTTGGTCTGGGGTTTTATTTGCTGTTAGATTCTTTATTGCTGATTCCTCTCAGCATTTTGTGTTGGTCTTTTTATTCATTCTGTGTATTCATATCTTAATTTTGATAAATTATGTGTGTACAGAGAACACTGTATTTGTTTTGGGTTTTTAAAATTTTGATGATAATTGTTTCTAATAATTCTTAATGAGTCTGTGTATTTGTAACATTTCTTTTTTCATCTCAAATCATTTATGTCTTTTTAATTAATTGGGCCAATTGTCAGTTTTACCTAATTTTTTTAAGGAACTAGATCTTCATTTACTAATCTTTGTAGTAGATTTTATGATTTCTGTTTTTTCTATTTATCCCCTATTTTTAAAAATTATTTCTTTTCCTCATTTTTAGTCTTTTTTTCCTTTTTATCGGGTACTTGAGATATAATATTAGATTATTTATTTGGTGTCTTTTTCAGTTTTTTGATATTGTCACTTACTTCTATGACTTTCTGCTTAACACGACTTTTGATGCATTCCATACATTTTCATGTATTTGGTTTTAATTTTCACTGTTCTCAATATCTTCCATTCTCTAGTTCACTCC